TGGCCGCCTTAGTGCACCTGTCTCGAGGTATAAGCGCCATGCGGATACGCACCTTGTACCCGTATCTTGGGATGAATCGGCTAGGAGAGCAAAGACAGTCGAGACAAACACACACTCGCCCCCACCAAACAGGGCTAAAAATGGTGCAGCAATCATAGCCTCTACCGGAATAGTATGGATTTTGCCTTTCCGCGGAATTAGGACCGACGGTATAGATTGTCAGCGGAACAGGAATGAGTTACCAACTAAGACAATCCAAGCGAACAAGACAGCTGATGCCAGCACATTGAGGCAGAGCACGAGCCTGCGTCCCAGGCGATCGGATATAGCACCATAGGGCACAGTGACAACAAGATCTGGGTTGGCGTTAACGGCTGAGTTGTGGTGGCTGGTGGCATGGGCACTTGATTAGATAGACAAACCGCAAATAGTAATAGACGTCCCGATGAAGGCTTCAAGCCAGGCTAGCTTCTGCTGTACCGGGTCAATCTTACACAGCCCCTCGTCGATTTGGCCCCCGGGTTCGATAACGAATGGATCATGTTTGCGATAGTAGTCGTTGCAGTAACGTAGCTCGATGACGCGATTTAAGGGTAGGTTAAGAAGACGTAGCGCGAGGTTGTTTAGGGCGAGGAGGAGGAGGATGACTAGGAAGTTAGAGTGCGTAGAAAAGAGCCGCGCTATTATCGCGCTTGTGCTCGTAGGGCGCGAGGACCGCGGGGGCGGGTCAACGGCTAGCGAAGATGGTGCGGCGGCCTAGATGGATAGAGAAAGTAGCACAGTATCAGCCAGGTTAGAGTCTGGCTTGGTAGGGGTATTACTACCTAGCCTATATAGGTACTCATGAGTGTTTCTAGGAGCTTACTCTTGCGTTTTACGTACATCTTGGGAAGGTAGGTCAGCCATTGTGATATTGGCGTGCTGTGGGTGAAAGAGGATTATACTAAGTAGATACCTACCATACAATTGTGCGCCTATCTAAGGGATGCTAAAGCTCTGACCACGATATTGAGAACGCCACCAACATCGAGCAATGGATAGGTCATTTTCAAATCGTGAAGTACCGTATAGAAGAAAACTAAGATAGTATAATCTACTATCGCATCTAGAGCGAGCTATTGTTGAGATTTGGGTACCGTAAGTAAGTATGAAACTCTTCAGAGCGAAACAGATAGTGCAAAAAATACTGTCATAATCTAACCGTCGCATTCATGAAGCGGTCCCGAAGGTGCCAACCCACTCAGCTACAAGAGAAAGAAAAGAATCTACGAGCTATGGCGCATTGCGGTACTATTGATGTGAGTGCGCCATCTACCCAAATAGCAATACCAATTATATAAACCCGTAAAACTACAGAATATGGATAAGATACCAGTCTGATACTAGCTTCAGCTCCCGACAGCCTGGCTATCAGGCTTTATGTTGTGTTCCCAGCCCCCAACATATTTACATTGTATCTACGATCGGAAGATGGCCCGCATCTTGTTCATACGGTGACAATCAAGGGTTTCACATGTTCTACGTCTCATCGGGTCAAGGCTTATGAGAAACAACAATGCAAGTAATGAATTGATTATCCCTAGCTTACTTCATCATGCTCGCACGGAGATCAGCCGGATTCACGGACGCCCGGCTGAGCTGTCAGCTGGAAGATCGTCTCACGACCATATCGCCGGGATGGAAAACTGATCTTTTCGATACGCCAATTTTGATCAAACTATATATAAAGCCATATCCTCGTAGAAACGCATTCCCGGGAGCAATTTATGACTATTCAGTTGAGACCTTTTGGCATGCGTGCATGCTATTCATAGAGCGATACGACCTATCTCATTATCCTACATAGGGAGGTGAAGTAAATCAACCTTGCGCATCTGGCGCCACGGCATCAAAAAGAGCAGAACAGGATGCGAAAAAGAAAAAAAGGCATCCTAAGAATTTTGGCTGTGTGAGCAGCCCATATCAGTCCCAAACAGGCACAATTGGGGGCGAAGGATCAGACACATGCATGCAATAACACCCCGAAACCAACAGCCATGCTGAATGCTGCCAACACTGTCTCAAACACCTTGCAGCGAACCCTGCCTCCACAATCGAGGTTCACGATGGTCCACTTTGCCTATTCCAGAAGCTCCAAGCTGCCAGGCGTGTTTTATTTTTGGCAGACCCTTGACGGAAGGAAGGTCATGAAACATGAACGGGCTCCGTGCACCTAGCCTCAAGCTAGTGTAAGTGGCTTTCTCGTTACCGAGCTAGATAGATAGATACGATATGTATTATGTATGTATGTATGTCTGTATGTATGCACTGCGGCCAGCATGGCGCGACCTGAGATCGAGTCGCGGAGTCCGTAGGACGCGCTCCTATTGCTACCCTCGGAGCCTTGTCGTATACCTAGGTGTAAGTTAGATTTGAATATAACGTCGAGGATGCGGTTGTTCATAAGTAGTCGCATCTAGCTCGGGTTTTGAGCATCATGATCTCGGAATCCCCATAGACATCACAGACTTTTTATTTCCTTTTAATAATCATGAGACTAAATTTGATATATTCGTCGATACTCAGTCTGGCACTGGTATCCGACGTTAGCGCAACTAGCGAATCGAATCAACTCAATTCCCCCAGATTTTTATCATCATCACCAGATTCTTTACGCGCTCTCTCAAGAGCGATACAGCATAACAAGCTCCTAGGACGCACCAGCAAACTGACAAACAGTACTGGCATAGCGAAGAGTTGGAATGGCGCCACGTTATTTAGCCTGTGAGAAAATACCCACAATCCTAAATCTGTTCATGGTTGTATCTAACTCGAAGAGCAGTTCCGGCCCGGTGGCGAATGTAAGCGGTGTTGAAGTATCTGCCGGCGTTGAAGTGACATGCACAACATGCTACGTGAAGGGGAACGTCACGGCCGAACTGGACTTCGACAGCGATTTCAATATCGGCGAGGCCATCGCCAACTTCACCAGCGACATCGGGGAGGAAATCAAAAATGTCACCACGACCGCCTTCGACTACGTCGAGGCCGAGGTTAAAGCGGTGTTTAAGAACCTGACGGACGATTTCGACTTTAGCGACGTCGACTTCAGCGATGCTAGCCTCCCGCCCTTGAATGTTAGCTTTAATGTCGACGTGCCCGATATCCCCGAGGTTAGACTGCGCCTCCAGTTCGACGAGCTAGAGCTCTACATGCTCATAGACACGGTCCTCTCAGCCGGCGCGTCGTATACGCTCAATCTCTATTCTAGCAAAACGCCGATCGGGTTCGCGCTCGATAGTGGGACGTTCGTGGGAGTCATTGCCTCCATCGACCTTCTTCTAGCAGCGAATGCGGACATCGACATTAGTAGCGGCTTGCATATCAAAGTCGACGATGGGATGGCGCTAGATCTCTCGCTCTTTAGCCAAAACGTTTCTAGTGTGACCTTGTAAGTGGCCGTGAATCCATACGATACCGTTGTACATCTCAAGCCTGTAGGCACAGACACTGACTAAGTACTAGTAACGGAGGATCCTTCGAGTTCCTCCCCGTCACCGTCCAAAGCGCAAGTGGCGTCCTCTCGGCAATCCTGCGCGTGGGATTGCATGCGGGCGTGTCTGTAGACTTCGACAAGTCCACCAAGCTCCTACATGTCGAGGCGGGTGCGGCCGCCGCTATATACGCCGACCTGGCCGAGTTCACGACGAACATTACAGCTGTCCCGGAAGGCGACGACAACGATTGCCAGCTGCAGGTGCAGCAAGTCTACCAGCTCGCCCTCGGCGCCGCTGCCGGTGCCACGCTTGTCGTTGGGCCCGAGACATGGGGCCCGGAGCCGTCAACGGCCATTCCTATTTTTTACACGACGCTAGCCGACGCGTGCGTCAAGTCCGCAACGAAAACTGCCTCGGCCACTGTTATGAGCACGTCTCTCCCGGCTGTATCTGCGAGGGCAAACGGGGATATGACAACGACAACACTAAGCGACGAAGTCACATTCACCGGCCTAGTCTGCATATCGACGGGTCTGACTGCGTGTCCTGCATCTCTACAGAGCACAACCAAGATTACGAGCACGACAGCGGTAGTGCTTACCGTGCCCTCAGGCTCAAAGGCTACCATCCCGGCAACAACGCAGGACACGATCCCGGAGACGATCCCCTTCGATAAGAACGTTAAGGCCGTTGACGCGACAACCGGAAGCCCCGTCTCCTACGTCCCGCCGCCCCCACCGACGACGTCCGCAGCTACAACATCAGCCGGGGTAGCAGGAGGTCAAAGTGGCGGATCAGGCGATAAAGATACCGGGAGCTCTGGTGAAAACATACCGCTCATCATCGGCCTTAGCGTCGGCCTCGGTGTGCCGTTCCTGATTGCTGTAGTGGTTGGGATATAGTAAGTGAACCCCTACACCCTGTTCCGCATTCTGCTTCGCGGTTCATTAGCTAATTCATGTCACGTATAGTCTCATTTTCAGACGGCGGAAGTACGCCGCCATTTCTCGCTCGGAAGTGTTCCAAGTTGTCTCGCCACAACCGTACACAGACGATGCACCCCTCCGAGAAAAGAAGCCTACAGCAACAGTGACGTCGACGGGTTCGGGTGGAAGTAGTAGGTAGAAGCTGAATTTGCGGGTGGAAAAAGGTTCATGGTTCATTGTATCATAGAGAATACCCATTCAGGAATAAACTAGTTAGTTATTTGCATGCATTTGAATAATCGTTGTGTTTTTCGAGGATTGAGTGTGAGCATTTCACACATAATCTTGCCCCTCATCGCCGTATTCGAGATAGCTTCGGAAGTGCGGGGTAGCTATCAGATGCGACAGGAGGAATATTCATTACACATCTGGGATTGTGCACATAATTACACTCTGATTGTAAATTCGGCTTCAGTTGTAGAACGATGGATGTAGCTGTGGATGATCATTGACCTTTTTTCTCTAATGGGGTTTCGCTAATGCGCAACCTACGCAGGCTACACAAGAATTAAAACATGCGGCCGAATTAACATCAATTGGCAAGATGGCCGAGTTGGTCTATGGCGGTAGACTCAAGCGAACAGCTTACCTGTGTTCCACTCAGGATTCTACTCTCGAAAGAGGCAGGGGTTCGAATCCCCTTCTTGTCAGAATATTTCCACTTGTCTCAGGACCAGAACTTCATTTTTCTAGCCCCTCATCACCACACCGGATTGGGCACTATATTTTTAGGAAATACCTAAAGGCAAGTGGCCAACTAGTAGACTGTTCGAGTTTCTTTTTAAGAACTCGCTCTTTGCCATAGTATGATTCCCATTTAAAGCATTAACATAGATGAATTTTTGCTTGTCTTGTCTGTGTTGGTTGTGATTCTAGCTGCTTAGATATGTTATCTCTATCTGGGCCTACAAGTAAGCGCCATAACACTCACTCACTACTTAGTAATTAGGGAGTGTTAGTTAGTTACATCACCATATCTAAAGATATTAGAAAACTTTACTGAAAACAACACCTAATCTAGGTACTAGATCTAACTGCCATTGTGATCTGGGTTAGACTCGCTTAGAAGAAAGTTTAAGGCTTTTATTGGACAGTAGATCTCAAGTTTTCATCATTGCAGGGTTGATCACGCCATCCCGCCGAGAGTATGAATTCGTGAAGATCTCCACCAAAAGCATCCGCCTAGCTACATTAGCTTGAGCGAGGATCGTCAGATAAATAAATACCAGCTAGGTACAGGTAAAAGATGCCAATTCGAAGAGGCTGAAATCCTTTCTCACTGAAACTCGTACGTGACCCCTCGTCTAATGCCTGTCTAATCAACCGGCGCCTCTAACACCCTCTCCAGACTTGCTTGCATCCCCTAGATAGGACACCCCGCATGTCAAGGATGGGCAGCCCGAAGGATTCAACCGCGCCCCTGGGCGCGGCAGACCTGGATTCCGATCAATTGGACTTCCAGGAAATCGACCCCGAATCGGGCGTCAAGCGCGGGCTGAAGAAACGGCATCTGAGCATGATGGCCGTGAGTATATCTCGGGGCTATTTACTTCCTGTTTTAGCAATTTCTAGAGCCGAAAATTTCCTTTTTGGTTAAAGTTGCGTCTAGAAGCTTCCAAAGTCCTCGCAAATAATGCTCAAGATAGAGATAACTAACTCCGAGTTCTCTAGTTGGCCGGCATCATTGGGCCGGGGCTCCTCGTCGGGAGCGGCGGCGCACTAGCTAGCGGCGGACCGGCGTCTCTCATTATCGGGTTCGGGCTCATCGGTATTGTCGCCTTTAGTATCATGCAGAGCTTGGGGGAACTCACCACTCTGTATCCTTCGGGGGGCGCGTTTACAAAGCTCGCCGATCGCATGGTCGATCCCGCGTTTGGCGCCGCGGTTGGTTGGAACTATTTTATTATTTGGTTTGCGGTGCTTGCCAATGAGTATAACGCCGTCACGAGCATTCTGTCGTTTTGGAGCGATAAGGTGCCTATATGGGGGTACTTTCTCCTTCTGTGGGTAAGTTGCGCTTTGTGGTCTTATTGCAGATTTTCTCTAAATGCTGTCTCTAGTCCGCGTTCCTCGGCTTCCAATTTCTGGGAGTTGAGACCTTTGGAGAGGCCGAGTTCTGGCTCGCGCTTCTAAAACTAGCGGGTTTGATAGCTTACTATATCTTCGCTATCGTGTAAGTCTTTTAACGTCGAAGGCAATCTACTCAATTATTTACTAATATCCCCTAGCTATGCTTCTGGGGGAGTGATCGGGGCTGATGCCATTGGATTCCGTTATTGGCACGACCCTGGACCCTTCGTAAACGGGTTCGCAGGTGTTGCACGAGTCTTCGTTTTCTGCAGCACTTTCTATGCTGGAGTTGAATCCGTCGCCGTCGCCGCTACCGAGACCAAGAACCCTAGCGTAGCTGTGCCACTGGCTATCCGCCAGGTGTTCTGGCGTATCATTTTCGTGTACCTTGGGGCCGCCTTCTTCTACGGCCTCACCTGTCCATCAAACGCCGACGGCCTTATTAACGGGACTAGTCGTGCGTTGAAAAGCCCTATGACGATCGCTATTCAAAATGCTGGGTGGGAAGGCGGTGTCCATCTCATCAACGCTTTCATCCTCGTCACCTGCATATCCGCTATCAACAGCTCAATCTACATCGCTTCGAGAACACTTTTGTTCATGGCCCAGGATGGGAAAGCCCCCAAGTTTCTCGGGTGGACAAACCGACGCGGCGTTCCAATGCCTGCAATCATCTTCGCCAATGCGTTCGGCGCCTTATCGCTGCTCAACATCTCCGCCGGTGCCGCAAACGCCTATACATACATCGTCAACCTATCAGGCGTGTCGACGTTTCTCGTCTGGGGCTCGATATCCTTCACCCACATTCGATTCCGGCAAGCTTGGGAATTCCAGGGCTACCCAGTCGAGGACCTCCCGTTCAAGGCGCTTTGGTACCCTTGGAATGCGTGGTTTGGGCTCTTCGCCAACATCTTCCTCGCTTTTGTGCAGGGTTGGACGACCCTCGCGCCTTTCAAAGCCGGCGACTTCGTAGACGCTTATATCCTCTTGCCTCTCTTTGCTATCATTTATGTGGCATTCAAGATATGGAATGGGACTCGGTTTTGGCGACTGGATGAGATTGACCTTCAATCAGGACGGCGGCGCGATCTTGAAGATAGCAAAAGATCTGAAAATGGCGAAGCTCAGCCATGGTGGCGACGGCTTTGGGAGAATTTCTAGATATCTCATAATATCATATTTTAGACAGGCTTATATAAATTTCAGGGCGGTCCAGCTTGAATATATACCCAACAAGCCCTTTACCCCTCGTGGGCTTAAATTTATGAAGCCTTTCCGTGTTTTTCTATGCTCTTCGTAGCTCTCGTAATATGCTTGACAGTTCTAGACATTGATAAATGCTCCTAATCATGAGTCCATCTCGGCCTTCCTCATCAGGGTGTTTAATCATGTAGCTAAACCTGATTCCTAGCGCTGTAGCATACCGCCGAGAAATAGAGGGGAACGTCGCATTCCTAGCACGGCGATTGGAGTCTTTCCACCAATATCCATCGGCTAAACGCTACATCAGTTACGACTTTCCGTGTAGGGCTCTTATTACAACCTTTTCCTACTAATGGCTATGGGTATAAGAGGGTTCATATCATACGACATATAGCATCGGGTCGTCGCCCATTTGGATTTAGAGCGCGGACCTCGTAAAAGTGCTTGGCGACACCCAGGTTTATCCCGAGTATTTATAGATGTCGACCTCGCAGCATCTGGTAGACTTGAAGTCTTTGCGCACAGTCGCATCACGGGCAACTTCTAAGTAGGATTTATTGAAAACAGCTTTGCAAGATGAAGGTCTCTGTATTACTCGGAGCACTGTGTTTGCAGTCCTATGCCTTGGCCGCATCCATCAGGAGCATATACCTATTCAAAGATGTGATGGTGTCCAACACGACAGCGATAAAGACCTCCGGCTTCAACAGCTTGGTAATGTTTGGCGTCGGTATCCTAGGAAATGGAGATATCATGGTATGACATGTCTCTTGTGAAATTGATACCTCAACCCAACTAGTGAGCTTTCGCTAAAAGCTACGGCTAAATACACTGGTGCTATTTCATAATACTACCATAATTAAATAATTCTATGACTAACGCTATATCTGAAAGTATTACTCAAACACGCCCGGCAGCAGCGACGTCCTCGCCGCCTCAAACGGCACATACGTCGGCGGCGACGCGCTAGCCACAAAAGTGAAATCCTTCAAGACAGGGACGACAGGCGTCGACCGCGTCGAGATCTCGATGAACTCACAGCACGTGAAAGACCTGATGGCGAATCCCGGGCCCGGGCCATCAACACCACTGTACCGCAACTTCGCAGCCCTGAAGACAGCCTGGGGCCTCGATGCTGTGAACAACGACGACGAGTCGCTCTACGACGTGGCTAGCACGGTCAAGTTCGCGCAGATGCTCGGCCAGATCGGGTACAAGTATACCATCGCGCCGTACACCAACTCCGCCTTCTGGGTCTCGCTGATCCGGCAGACGAATGCGGGACTGGCGGATCCGAATCTCTTACTTGATCGTGTCTACTTGCAGTGCTATGATGGCGGCGCGGGGAATAACCCCGCCAGCTGGGCGAGTACGCTTGGGCTTAAGGTCGTGCCGCTGGTTTGGGTCACGAATGATTCGAAGCCATCGCAGGGTACCACTGTTGCACAAGCTCAGTCAAAGTTCACGGCTTGGAATTCGGCGGGCGGTCTTGCTGGAGGTGGTTACTGGAATGACTACGATATTGAGAAAAACGGGCTATCATACACGCAGTATGGAGGCGTTTTGACGAGCATATTTAAGTAGAATAGTTAGGTGGGGGTATTGTCTCCTCACATTTGATATAAATATCTCGTAACTTGGACTACGGGCGAGCAAATTTACAAGAATGAACAATCTGAAGGCGCCTGGGGCCCTATACTTATTGTAGGCTATGAGCTACTGTCGTTGCACAATGGTCTTCGGGGACCATCTTTTCGATGCTGTCTAATTACATGTATGATAATTGTCCATATTTTCACGCTTTCTAGTAGTTCTGTCTCATTACGTCTGTAACAACTGGTGATGGTACCACTGTACACACCCACACTCACGCGTAGAATCATCTAGAGGTATACTTAGAGTCGATGAATTGGTACTTAATCAAGTCCTTAAAACTACAGAATCGACTAGAAGTTGGTAGAAACTTAGACAGCGGGCTATTCCGCCCGCTCCAATGTCTCGGCTGGCTACGTGCAGAATAGAGAATATGGTAGTGTCTTTAATTTGATTCGATCATAGTATCATCGTCCTAGCCTAGAACCTTTCGCTAGCTAAATAATAGCGGAAATGATTGTTGTCTTAGGCGGGTGTATCCGTGTATACCCGCCCACCCTTTTGAGAATTACATAGTATTAATGACGTGTCATACAACACAAGTTCATCGTACAAATTGGGTTTTTACATTCATTTTCATGATTACGTCAATCTATGCACGACTTTGAGTGCCTAGTGGGTGCAACCTTTAAGGATAGGATAGTTTATAAGCTCTCATGGGTGGGCAATGGTCGACCATTGTGAAAGTATGTTACTACTAGATCTCATGGCATATTACTATCAT